GTCTAATTTTAATTATAAAAAAAAATCAGGGGTGTAATATGTAAAGCTTTGCCATTTGTCTCCCCAGGATAGTAAGACCCATTAGGGCTTCTAAATTCCAATTTGCAAAGACTTAAAAAACACGACTCCTGTACAAATACACAGTGACTGTGAAAGCATTCGCTTGGCTCATGGGTCGATGAGGTAGCCACTAAGGGGCTGTAACTGGACTAATTCAAAGAGTGACTTGAAGAATGACATTTATCTGGGTAATTGGTAATTTGAAGGCTTTTTCTTTCTTTCTTTCTTTCTTTCTTTCTTTCTTTCTTTCTTTCTTTCTTTCTTTCTTTTTTTTTTTTAGATAAAAAGCTTGTCAACTTTCAGCTGATGAGGAGGAACACGAATGGGGAAGTCATTAAAGGAAGAGGAAACACATTGCTCAGTGCAGGTTGAGTTCCTGGCTGCCCCTTGAGCGGATTATGACAGTTGACAGCCTTTGAATTGAGTGATGACCTTGTGCCTACCTACTATGTGTAGCCACTTCTCCTCTCACTTACTTGGAACCTCTTCTTTCGTGCCAAGTGAAGTATGGTGGTGGGCGGGATGCCCTCACGACACATTACTCAAATTTTCTGATGCTCCCACTGTCTTCGCTGGATATTAAAGGTACATTAATTGGTTATTAACGATGAATTCTTCAATTTGTTTTAGAGCATATTATTATCACCTGAGATAAGAACGGTCTCTAAGGATCAGGGATTTATTTGAAGCAGTTACTGACTGGAGGGTAGGCTCCCAAGCATAAAGCACAACTGTACCCCACATCACTCCCAAGGAACCACCAGCTGAGTTTCCCAACCTCTCCGCAGTTTTCAGTGAGGACCCTGCAGTCTTTGCTTTGTTCTGTTTGGCTCCTCCATCTGCTTTACTTTCACTGTGTGGAAGCTTTCTACCCCTGCCCTTGAGTTAGGCTGTGCCTGGTGGATCAGACACAGATCGTACCTGAAGTACAGGACGAATGTTTTATTGCCCTTTGGTTATTAAGCCAGTCATGTTATTCTTGGCAGCCTAGCCCAGAGGTAAGGCAGAGAAACAGCAAGAGGAACAGGAAATCATGCTGTAAAATATTTACAGGAAAATGTAGGCTTGCTTGAAGCAATTCACTGGCCCGCTCTCCCTCTGCCTTTTTTTTTTTCCTTCTCTAATCACTTCCCTCCTCCTCTCTTCCTGGCTCACTGTTACACAAGTTTTAGTCTTAATAGGAGTGTTGAGATATAAATTTTTCTTAATCAAAAGATATGCCATATTTTGAGTCATGCAAAACACCATTTTAATTATTAAGAATTTGCTCTAATCAATCACAAACATCCCTAACAGTTCCACTCTGTCCCAGCCCTATGCCCTACAGCTTCCTTTCATCTGAGAAGCATGACTTCTATGGTCCTGTCCCACGACTGCTTTGAAATCTAGATGAGCAGGTAGTCCTTTATCCCCAGGGCAGGCTCAAAATAGTTGATCCAGGCACTTCAGAATTAGCACCCCTCTTAAATCCCAAGTAAGTGCAAAAAAGCAAGTTCCAGGTACAGAGAGCAAAGGACTCCAGGCTGAGTTACTACAGCCTCTGCCAGGCTCCCCTTTGTCAGCTTCACCATGGAGACCATTAGCCTTCTTTGAAGATCTCTAGAGCAGCACTGCCCAAGGAATGCGTAAAGTTCCTTTCAGAACACCCTCATTCATGGTAGAAATGGTCAGGTTAACCAGAATAATTATTCACAAGCATGTTTTGTTTTAGTGTTAGTGACTACAGTATCTAAAACCAAGAAGAGGACTATTGAATATTGATTTTTTTAATGCATTCTGGAAATAGCTAAATAAGACTTTCTTGCTTTTGTAGTTCATGCTGGTCTTCTTAGGGCTGGAATTATGGGCATATACCACTTTGTCTGCATGCTGCCTCCTTTCTTCATATGGTACTAGAACCTGAGCCTCAGATATGCTAGGCACATGCTCTTCTACCCCCCTACCCACCCAATGCTTCATTTGTAAATCCATATGGCCCTTGTTACATTTAAAAACTTCATTTTAAATTATGTGGATTGGTTTGTATGTGCACTTGAGTGCGGTTACCAGAGGAGACCAGAAGGTGGCGGTATAGGAGACCTAGAGCTGGGGTTACAGGCTGGTGTGAGGCACCCACCGTGGTACTGAGAACTAAATTTGTGTCCTCTGCAAGAGCAGCAGGAGATTGTAACTGCTGAGCTAGCTGTCTCTTTGACTTAAGGCTACCGAGGGTATATCTTACTGTTGGGTTTTATGCTTATTCATTTGTTCATGTTAAACATAGAAAATGGTTCCGGTAGAAAGGGTTAGGGCAGAGTATGAAAATTTAAGGAACGGTTGAAGCATTGTGTCCTAAGCGATTCAAAAGCAGATGGTCATGTAGTCACTTCCTCTGGCTTGAACCAGCCCTTCCTGCAAGGAGGAGGGAGGTTGGTAAGATTTAGAAAACCAACAGTCTTGCAGCTCAGAGAGTTAACTGCAAGACTCTCAAGGCCTTGGGGTAGCATTACACAACTGCTCCAGTGTTCTGTGGAACTGCTTGCAAGTTATGCATCGAGCTCCAGCAATAGGTCTCTTTTTTGTTGTTTGTTTTTGTTTTTTTTCCAGACAACAGGGTTTCTCTGAGTAGTCCTAACTGCCCCAGAAACTCACTCTGTAGACCAGGCTGGCCTCAAACTCAAGAGATCCACATGCCTCTGCCTCCTAGGTGCTGGGACTAAAGGCATGCACCACCACCCAGTTCATGTAGCTCCCGTGCCGAGGTGGGCTTTTCCATTAATGTAGCCACCTTTAAGTTACCCCTACTCCTGGAAGGAGCCTCTTATTCAAATTCCTATAAATAATCCCCCAAACTATTTAATCCGTCAAGCTAAATTTAGAAAGATGCATCTTTAGTTTAATGTCGATGAATGCGTTATTTGAATAGCCATTTGCTCACATCTCCACAGGAAAAATCATACAGCAATGGACATCCATTTCAGTTCAATGTGGCACTGGTCAGAGATGATGTCACCTATTCTCTGGGTTCTGGAGGCCAGAGCTGGGTCCAGCTTTGGGGCTTCAGTAACTACGTGGCCTCTGGCAAGCCTGCATCAATTAGAAAGCTCTTGTTGATAAGGTTATATAAAAATCCACCAGAACACATGGCCTAGAGCCATATCATACCACTGCCCTAATTTTGTGGATGTTAAAAGGAATGAGGAGGAGTATGGGTAGTCAGCCCTGTGATGGTTTGCAGACACAGAATTAAGAATGATAAGGCCATCAGTGCCTATGCTGGTAAAATAGGCAGCTCAGGGCCAGCTAGGAGGTCTCAGGACAGAGAACTCAAGTCTCAGCCTATCACTGGCCTCAGTGGCACACTTGCCTCTGAGCAGGAGAACTGTGGAGCCTAGGAGCACAAAAGACTGGAAAAGGGGGTAATCGGCCATCTTAGACACCTCTGGTACTCCAACATCACCTACTACAGCTTTTCGTGGTTATTCAGGGGTCTTTCTGAATGAACTCTTTCTAGACCTTGGCCATATCAATATTCAAGACCAATTTCACCTTCCCCTGCCCATCCCCAGTATATGCTGTATTTTGTGGTGACAGGATTACTAAATTAAAGTTCATTTGTCAGGGCCGGAGAGATTGGTGAGTGGTTAAAAGCACTGGGTGTTTTTGCAGAGGAACTCCCTCTTTACAGAGAATTTGCAGAGTTCATTTCCCTACACCCAGCCTGTATGGTAGCTCACAATTGTAACTCTGGTTACAGGGAAGCCAACACCTTCTTTTGACCAACTCCACGGTCATGTGCTACACATACATTCATGCAGGCAAAACATTCATACACATAAAATATTTTTAAAAGGTCATATGTCCACATACGCATGCTTCCAACATCTTTCATCTTTCCATCCACCCAACTAACCTCCCACATACAATTAACACGCATTCTTTTGGTGGTAAAAAAAAATGTCCAACGTTTTCCGGTCTATTTCCCTATCCTTCTCTCATAGCACAGGGATACACTCCAGCCCATAATTTGTTCCCCCACTCCCACCCCCTTTAGTTTATATATAGAGAGTTGTTTTTTAATAAAATGCACTGGGTACCAGTACCGTGTCTAAAGAGCCAGGAAAGAGTGTGTGGAGGTTAGGGACTTTAGGAGCTAGCGCCCTTCTAAGGAGCGATTTAGGATTAGGTGATAGAGAAGGGTGTTCTGGGACTGAGCCAGGATTTCAGCAGGAAGTAAAAGCTCGGTCCCGTGTGTGCCCCCAGGGCTTTGTAGCCTAGCCACTCAGAAGGTCCAATCAGAGCGCGCTCAGAGTCCTAAGCTCCTGCCCTTTAAATTACAGAGTCTTGTGGAGACCCTGGCACCTGGCCTTAAGCTCAGCCCGCAGTAAGTACCTTTCTAAAGGAGTCAGTGTATTCCTTTAGCTCCATCCCCAAACCTTTGCCCAAAGACCCTGGAGGATGCAACAGGTTCTCAGAGTCCTGGGGTCCCGCAGTCTTGCTCAGGCACCCCTAGCCTACCGTGGGCGGAGCAGTGGGGGCCGGACTTTAAATAATTCATGAATTAGGTGGAGGGAGCCCAGCCTGGAGGCGAGGGGCTGGGAGGTTCCGAGACCTGGGAGGGAGCTGGACCTGAGCGGTGAGTTGCTCAGAGTGCGGACCCAGCGCGGGGGCTGAGCTCCCCCTCTTCTAGAACACCCAGGGCAGGGATGGGGAGTGGAGAAGGTGGACCCGCGTCTCCCTCTGCCTCCATAGCAGGTGGCGGGAACCTAGATTGTCTTCCCGGAACTGGAGGGGCTGCAGGGCGGTGTGGGTCCGGGCCACTGGGCGATCCCAAGGTCTGGAGAACTGGTTAGAGCGTGCAAACTTTTTTCCCGCGGCCGTGGCCGGCTCCTCTCCGCGCCACCTTGCTCCGCTCGGGTGCTCCTTCCATCCTGTGGAGGGGTGGAGGTCGCTCTGGGTTCCGGCGACGCGAGCAGGAGGCGGTGAGACTTTCAGGCCACCGGCTCGCTTTCGGGCAGGGCGGCGAGAAGAGGTTCGATTCGGGTCTTGAGAACTCTTCTGCGGTAAGGAAAGCTCCAGGAAAGGCTGGGGGGCGGGGGAGGGACGCGAGACTCCGGGCCATCAGCCACCATCTGCTACCTATGTGCAGCGCCGAGTGCTACTGGCCGGAGCGGGAGGGCTATGCTGGTGCAAGAGCAAACCGCCTCCCCGCGGCCGTTGCCTAGCGCACGTACCGGGGCTGGAAGTCCTGGCTCCAACCAGCCCTCAGGGTCACACAGCGCGGACCGAGACTTTCGGCTTTCCTAGAGATGGAGACCAGGGGCGCTCAGGGCATACCTTGACAGAATGCGGGGACCAGGGACAACAAAGAGGGATGTGGACTGACCAGAGCTTCATGGCTGCTGGAGGATCGAGGCTCGGGCTGAGTTTCCGAGAATGGGTCGAAGATGTTCCCATCCTCAACCCGCCACGCTTAAAGAGGACTTGGTGGGGAAATGTCTTGGTGGCTCTTGGGACGGCGGGACTCTGGGACGATCCCCTCCCCCAGGCGACGGCGGATTCCTGGAGGCTCCCAGCTTCGCGCGCCGCCTCGCAGTTGGTTCTTTTGTGTTCTGCAGTCCGGGAAAGGCCCCCGAGAAAGGGGGAACGAGGGCGGGAGGGCACGGGTCTGGTCGCAGCTTTTAGAGAAAGGCAGCGGAGTAAAGGTACCCGCGCTTCCTGCAGCTCCAGCTTACTCCTGGAGCTCGCTCTGTTGCTCTCTTGTTCAATTGTGGACTTTTCTCAAGCCCTAGCGGAGAATGGTTTGCTCGGCTTCTTGTGGGTGGTTGCTGGCCTTTGTTAAGCGAGCGAAAGATTAAAAGTCCTTTCCAGGCCCCTCCACCCTAACTCACTAGAGACCCAAACAACTTGAAGAACGAATTTGCATTGAACCATATGAAAACTTTTTTGTTTTGATTGACCAACTGAATATTGGCAAATTCATACGTTTCGGCTAGGCTGACTACTTATTTTTCTCATTCATTTGTGAATTTACCTCTTTGAAGCACCGCGGAGCTGATATCTGTCTGCAGGAGCCTGAGGTGGTTAGTCTGGAGCATCAGAACTTTATGAACACCACACATTGTACCGAGTTCTTTACCTGTTAGCATGTTAACCAGCCAACCCTATGCAAAAGTCCACAGAGTGAAGTAACTGTCATTGGCACAGTATTAGTAAGTGGGTCCAGAGAACTGGTCCTGTTTGAAACAGGAATTTTGCTATTTAGCAAGGTATTTTACTTTCTTTTTAAGTGTTCTGTATTTTTTTTATGGACTTCCCTCTGGTTTTTGTGGTGAACTGCTTCTCTGCGTTCTAGTTCAGTGAAGTAAACAAACAGATCAAAGGACAAGTTGACAACACTAGGAACTGGAGAAAAGGCCCAGCTCTTGGGAGCACTAGCTGCTCCCCTAGAGGAGCACCCACATGCCAGCTCACAACTCCAGTTTCAGGGAATCCATGGCAACAGGCATGCCGTGTACACATAGTCCCAGGAAGGTAAAATACCCATACACATAAATTAGAATAGAATAAAATAAAATAACTCTTTAGCACAAGTAAATAGCAATGCTTTAAGTATGGTTGATTTTGTTTACAATATGAGAGAAACAGGTTTTGTCAATTGTCAGGAACCCACCTAGGTTTTAAGGACCAGGAAGCTTCCTTACAAATGATATAAACTAACCCAGCATGAGTGTGGAACCAATCAGATGTTCTGGGGTCGGGGTGGGGGGCAGGAAAGTGGCAGGAAAGTTGGATAGCCAGTCTTAATAACACAAGACAGGTTCTTAGCCCCTGACTGATGAATAACTATGGTGAGTGCGGCAGGTCTTGAATATGGCTGCTGTATTGCCACTGTCTTTCTAGAAAGAATTAGAACACTCGGCTTCAGTATACGTTCAGTATACGTTTCAGGCTCAGACCCAAGAGAAAGGATCGGACCAGCCTAGACTGGCTCACCCCCAGGACCTATTTAGGCACTCCAGCTGTCCTCACAATGAGAGGTAGGGGTGCTCCCCACAGGACTCACAAAGGTGAGCTCTGAAGTCAAGTACCCCCTCATTCCCAAAGCAGCACCCCAGAAGACAGAAACCTACATCCACCACGGGGACCCTTGTAAAATAAAGAGTGAGAACTTCCCATCAAATGAAGAAAATGAAGCTAATGGGTCACCCTGTTTTCTTTTAAAACCAGTGTTTGCAGAAATGTAGCTCCCCGGGACTTCAGTCTCAGAATCATGTGAGGTATTTGTTTAAAACTAACTTTAGTGAGCTCCTTTCCCTGTTTGAATAGAGTGTATTTGGAGTGGAAACCAATAATGTGCCCAGTTAACTAGGAAAACAGCCAGGCTGACTTTGCTAACTATGACCTGCTTAAGGGGATAGACTTGGAGTTAGCAGATTCAAAAGCTTGCAATGGTGAGGGTCTCAAGAGACGTGCTCCTACCCTGAAGGGTGGATGAGTAGTCCTGCTTTGGGTGACACTGAAGAGATGGCTTGCTGCCTGATTTGAGGAAACAGCCACAGCAATCCTGGAGGTAGGCTAGGATCTATCCTTCTCAAGAGTGTAAGTCTGCCAACAAGACACTTGGCTCAGCTTTAGAAGAGGTAAAGGTGACAACTTTGTGCCAGCCTCGTCTCCATTTTGCTTCTTCAGCAGTCCTGTATTGGGTATCTCCTGTGTACCAGGACTGGGGATACCTGGAGGAGTCAGTATCCTTAGCACATCACCCTGCATCTGGGACAGGTCAGGTCAAAGTAACAGGAACAGGGTGTTGGTACCTTGGTCTGTTGTCCTGAAGCTGTATCCAGGGAACCTGCCTTGTCCTTGGAAAGTGGTAGGAATGGGGCAGAAAGGTGTTGTAAGAATAGTGTTGGTTCAACCTTTTGCTACCTTCAGGGATGCTGGTTAAAATTGAAATTAGGGCTGACAAGGTACCTCAATGGGGAGGGGGGGAATCTAATAACTGTCAAAGCTATGAGTCCAATCCCAGAACTCACGGTAGGAGAGTACCAAACCTAGAAACTTCTGAAAATTGTCTTCTGACTTAGATGCCACAGTGTACATCACCCCGCCCTGCAATAAATAAAAGTTAAAGTGCAGTTTAATAAACCCCATCCCAGTATTTAGGTTGGTCATCAGCATTTTAAGTCAACAATCATTTTTTTTAAACTAAGAAACATATTTTATGAATGTTTTGCCTGCCTCTGAGAATGTACACCATATGTGTGCCTGTTGCCTGTGAAGGCCAAAAGACACTGGACCACATGGATCTGGGGTTTTGAGTGGTTGTAAGCTGCCATGTGGGTGCTGGGAATTGAACCTGGGTCCTCTGCAAGAACAACAAGTAAACACAATCTCTTAACAGTTGATCCATCTCTCTAGCCCCCACAGCCTGTTTTAAGGATGTGTAGCACATTTTGTGCTCTTTGCCCTGCTCTCAGCAGTGGCTCATACGACTTGAATGGGTCCCAAGCAAAATGCTTTCTTTTCCTAGGTGGTGGTTGTTGTTGCTGTTTTTTTGAGCCAAGGTTTCTCTGTGTAGCCCTGGCTGTCCTGAAAGTAGCTCTGTAGACCTTGCTGGCCTGGAATGGAACACAGAGATCCACCCTGCCTGGGGTTTTCATATCCACTAAAGTTGAGGCGAAATTCTTTCTTTTTCACTTGAGTTTCGTTAATTGCTTGCTTTGTAACTCTTGGGCCTTTGATGTTTTCTTAAATTTTAGTGTTTAAGAAGGACGCTTTTTGCAGAGAGATGGAGAGAAATGTGTATGTTTGAATCTCACCTGGCCTCTGAAGCACTGAGCACCTCCACCTCTGCCCTGGTGAACAGGGTGTTTTCTTTCCTTTGGAATTTCCTTGCTTCATCCCTCGTTTGAGGTTTCCAAGCTCCATAAAAGGAGCCTGAGTTTAGAAGTGTGCTTTTTCATAGTGCTAGGGGAGAGTCTATCTGTGTCGGGGGCTTGGTCTCATTACCAGGAAGTGTGCCTTCCTCAGTTCCTGAGCCTTTAATCGTCCAGCTCTGAAGCCCTTAAGCAAAGAACTGGCTGAGGTAGGGGTGTGTGTATTGTGTGTGTGTGTATTGTTTATATGTGTGTTGTGTATGTGTTTTTGTGTGTGTTGTGTATGAGTG